AATCGGGTATTCTGAAGGCGAGACGACGATCAGAGATCAGTGTTAAAGGGGAGAGGGCAGAGACGGAGAATTGGGAGGAGGGGGAGGTAGAGATAGAGAGAGAGATGGGGGGAAGAAGAGAGGGAGACCAGGGCCAAATCGATCCGAGAGAGGTGGGCCCTCGGCGGGCCCTCAACACTGCACCCTCCTCCCCCTAGGGGGAAGGGGAGGGGTTGAGCTCGGGCTAGTGAGGGGGATATGGAGAGTGGAGAGTGAGAGATGCAAAAGAAAGAGAGCAGAGGGAGAGATTCGCAGTGGATTGGTGCAGATGAGATAGATGAGATTGATGGAGAGAGCGATAGAGAGAGAGACGCACAATTCCAATACGGGCTCAGGGTCGAGAACTAGGTAAGCGATTAAAGGGATCGGCAAGTTGAGGTTAGCTTCGCCGCTCCTTTAAAATTACGGCACACTTCAGATTTCCGGGCGGAGGAGAGGTATGGAAAAAGTAAATATAGCTTGCATAAATATAAGTTAAAAATATTTCCAATATTTTGAAAAGCTAGGTCAATCCGAAATATCTACTAAGAGCTTTTCTTTTACTTGATACCAGGGTTGAAAAGCCGCTTCGCGACTTTTCAACCCTGGCCTCGTCTGATCTCATGATCTACTTCACTTTGCATAATTCTTGGATTTCCGATAACAAAAATGAAAATCGCACTCTCTAGCCCATTATTAGGCTACCGGAACTTCCGCCGTATGCTAACTTTTCCTAACAAAGAGGATCGCCGATCTTTCAACAAAAAACTTAATTTTAATGTCGAAAATAGGCAATTTTGACAAATCTGATATGCGTGCAGTCATCTCAGAGCAATTACGCACCTAATCCCGTATCGTACGTAGCCTAAGACCCTTCTCCTCTTGGGTTATCCTCTGGACAGAATGACGGAAGTTGCATGCAAAGTGGCACAGACACACACACACAAACACTATTTTTTTATATATAGTAGGATATTTATATTGGAGACGACGTGGTCAGTTTACCCCCCCCGCTATCTCACATGTACCAAAATTACTGTAGTTTCCGACTTCAAAGCCCACGTCTCTAAAGAGCAACTTGCAAATCCAAAACCAGCAACTCCCGGTTGCTAAAAAGCAACACCCAGAATAGGGAATTGGAGCTGATCGAACTGCTATATTTGAACAGAATGCACATCGGACACCGTTGGGCACACAATGGCCAAACGAATACCTACACACCGGCCACTGGGGGGAAGAAGCGTCAGCGCAAAAAAAAGTGGATGGCCAAAAGGGGAGCTGGTGGCTATTTTGGGATGGGAGGGGGTCGCAGCTTGACCCAGGGAATATTGTGGCTGGAAAGATTGTTTTTTCGCTTCTTGCCTTTGTCCGCTAGCTTTCAAACGTTTTCTTTGATTTCTGGGCGTAATTCATTGCGTGTATGGCAAAAGGGAAAAACTTTAAAAAAGGAAATCTGGACATATCGACAGGACACTTAACTTATGCAATGGATTATGACGATTCTCACGATATATCCGAATTTTACTTCCCCCCAGCCGGAAGGTTTTAGCTATCACTTTTTGTTTTCCATTGCTGTAGTCTAAAATTAAAACTCTTAGTATATTTTTCGAAGCTCTATCGAATCGTGTTGCAAAAATCCCGACAAACAAAGCGAAAATATTAAAAACCGTGTGACCCTTTTGTGTGGGGGGAGGGGTAAAATTAACTCTTACAAATCCTTTTGACGTGTTCACTTAGAAAAAAGTACCATAAGCGTAGTTTAATGAATGCGTAACCAACAAAGATTAATTTCCCAGAATTTCCGCCTCTTGTTCATAACCATATATCACACCCACCATGATTTTCATATCCGCCCTCCTCCTCCTATTATTTTGCCACCTGAGAACCTCTTCAACCAAAGTATACAAGACTTTCCCCCTTGTTCTTTAAATAACCCCCGACCATCAGCAGGTGGTAGCAAAACCCAGCCCGGTGCTTTTCATCTCGTTCACCCCATGGTCGAAATTGACGAATCTAAGGGCGGGGTAGTGGTTTGGATGAGGGCTGAAAATGACGAATTATCTGCAGGGGCCGAAGGGAGGAAGAGAAATGACGATTGGAGGGGAGGACGAGGAGGGTAATCTTCGAATCGTAGAAAAGGGGGAGAAAGAGGAACATTACCTGGCAAGGGGAGCTATATATAGGAAATAGATAGCAGGAAGGAAGGAAGGAAGGAAGGGAATGGAATTGATGAGTCGGCGGTTTGAGCCAAGGAAATGGGACTTGTAAAGAGAAGGAATGGGGGGTGGCCCACACACGATGGCTAATAGGAGGAACGGGTAGACAACAACCAGTAGCAATATCGCATATATGGGCTGCCAAAAAAACCTGGTTTTCGGCGCAGTTTATGACGACAGCCCTTTTTTATACTTGTGCGATAATATTTTGGCTTAAAAATTTTCATGGTAAAAGCGTTGAAATTGGGTTGTTAGCAGGGGGAAACCAATTTTCCACAGTAAGCTTGTATCAATCAAAATCGTAACCATTTTTACAGAAGTTTACACAGTTCTTAGATGTAAAAAATGTAGCAAAACATGAAAATTTTCCTAAATTTTCGATTTTTGGTCAAAAATGTGCGAACAATGACCAAATAGGTACAGCTTTTTGAATTTTCTACGATTTATAAAATATTTTTGTAACTTTCTAGCCATCAAAAACTACGACAAAAACATCATAAAAATACACTGCTTATAACAAGTTGCATAGACGTAAAAACAAAGCTTAGTTTTGCCTCTCCAGTACCAAAGTTGGCCGGAATGGGACAAAGACTCGAGGGCCCAGGGCTGGTCTATTTTGCATCCCATAGTACCACGTCGCAATAGGGCATATCTAGTAAGCTACTAAAGATTGGAAAGGGCAACGGCGAGTGTGTGACAGGATGTGGGCGGGATAGGGGCGACCCCGAATTAGGGCCCTCTAGGGCCAACCGAAAATGCGACATTTATCCCCTCTGGAAGGGGGAGAGACACCCCTTAGCCTCCACCCCCCCTCCCCCCCAGCTCTTCAACTAAAAAAAGAGCTCTACCCGGCTCTCTCTTTGAAAAGCCGTTGACTGCTGGACGAGACGACATTTGGAAGGGCTCACCCTGGGGCATAGGGTCAGATGACCCGACGGCTGGAGGGGAGGGAGGGAGGGGCAACATTGGAAACTCCCAAAAAAGGGGTCGGTTAGTTGCAACTTTTAGTTTTGGATGGACAGGTTTGGAATCGGATGGAAGGGAGAGAGAGATAGATAAATAGAAAGCGAGAGAGGCAGGGGAGAGAGACAGAGAGAGAGAGAGAGCGAGAGAGCGAGAGAGTGAGAGAGAGCGAAGGATAGTGAGAAAGAAGCAGCAATACAGAGAAACAGAGAGAATAGAATTTTTCCTTATAACGAATAGTCGTGAAAAACACGCTAAAAACCCTTAAAATCATTAAATTTCACAAACTCAAATAAATTAAATTCCTCCCTAGAGAGTACCAATTCGGAAATCCCCCACGCCAGCCAACCCTGGAATTGTAAGTTGTGAAGTAATGTAAGTAAATGGATCGGAATCTGGTTGAGTGGCTTAGCAACGGATTTAGATGAGGGTCGGATAAAGCCGGAAACACGGAAAAAGGTTTCCCCGCGATCCCCCGGTGGTCCCGGCCATATTTATCGGCCACCACCCATCAGATATTGGAGGGTCGCAACTACAGCAGACAACACATTAACTACGGTAATTTTAAAATAGGAATAAAACGGGGGGGGGGGCACAAAACGCAGTTGGTTACATCCAGCCGTTTAACTTTTCATGAGCAAAATTAGCATAAACTGGTCATATTCCGGATGCTGATTTGGAAAATATAGTTTTAGCGGTAAATCGTTGCTTTCTTGTTATTTTGCCTGAAACAATCGCGTACACAGAGTCATTTACAGGTCCAATTCGTTGGTAAAAATTTGAAAATGATCGGATAGGAAGCGGGCGAACGCATCGGAATTTGCTGCACTTTGTAACTTAGTACAATCACTGGATCCAAGATTAACAAATAACCCTGTGGCCAGGACAGCTGTAATTCTTTCGTGGGGGAAGTTGCACGCACCCGCCCTGCCGGGGGATCAATTATTGGCCATGTGATAAGGGGAGATCATTGTTTCTTTAAACAAAGAAAAGCAAAAAGGGGGCAGACAGCAAAATCTGGGTGTATGGCAGCCGAAAAAAAGAGCTGGAATTCAGGGAATTCGATAAGGCCGCCCCAAAAATAGCCGCAAAAATTGGGAGGCCATCCTATATTTGTTAGGTAGATTATGTGACGTAGTTTCACTATTTTAATACCAGATGGTTACAGTCGCTTCGCGACTGCAACCATCTGGCCTTCGGGCTACCCTACATGTCCCACTCCACCACATCCTTTCCCACCTCCATCAATACCCCCGATAGCCGAAATCCCGTTCAAAAACTACCTAAATACCTTCCCGATAGCTTCAGATACCCCCCATGGCTGAAATCCCCTTCAAAAACTACCTAAATACCTCCCTGATGGCTTTAGATACCTCCCCTAGCCGAAATCCTTTTAAAAAACGAAAATAACGACCGACCGGATGGAATGAGAGAAAAAAAGAAATGAAATCCCCCGTGAAAATTTTCATCCACGAAACGCGCGCGACCTGGCTCACTATGTCCAAAATCACCCCAACCTCCGTCCCCCACCCCTTTTACTAAGGAAAAAACTTTCAAAGTTAATTTTAATAATTTAAACTAAAAGTTTTTCATAATTTTTTTATCAGTTTGGGGGTTTCTGACGGCGCTCTATCCGAATCCGAAGAGAGCTAAGCTCTAGCTCCTTTCCCCTTCGAGTTGAATCTGGGACACGACAGACGGACGGACGGACGCGTCAAGAAAATTATTATAGTTGATATTAGTGATTTCCATTTGCTTATTTATGCGCTTTATCAAAACTATTTATCAAAACTTGACAAATTAATAAACTTCGATTTTCACATTTTTCCGCCGCCAACACCTCAAATCCAGGCAAACAGCGAGCAACGATGGAAACAAAAAAGCACCGGTGACCAAGGACAGCTGAAAATTAGCAAAGACCATAAATCATATAAATATAAAATTCATACCAAGCTAATAACAATCATAAAGCACCCAATTTGATAAAACGCATTCGTACGAGCAGACAGCATTGGTAGACCGGCTAGAATTGAAGTAACAGCTCCAGCCAATACAGCTCGGCCGGCTGAGTTGTTGCAAGACCTAAAAATTCTTAATTTCCCAAATTACAGATACCCTACCGTATCCTCAGCTCGATGCATGGATCATGGGCATGACGATGGGCGACAGCGTAATGTAATGTGTAATCAAATGAGAGTCCGATGGAGAGTACCGTAATTGTTGCTTCCACGACGTTGATGCGCCAACCTAGAAATGGATGAAATAGAAATAGCATATTACCCATCCAAACGACGGCCGCCAATGTGTTTAGAATGACAGATCCGATGGCAGTAATACTGAGCAAGGAGATTGAGAGATCCCAGGTACAGGCGATGATGACAACAAGCGATACTGAAATTGTTAATTTATAGCAACACGCCCCCTTTAGAACTAATCCGTAAGCCGTAGACCGTAGAGGTAGCCGGGCTAACCAAAAGCCGTAGACGTATAAAATTCCGACCTGCTACCGAGACCAACACCGATCCCATAGTGGAAGTAAGCAATTTCGACAATAAATCGTACATCTTGGTGACGTGAGATTCTGATAGAAGTAGATAAACATCACCTACAAACTAGGTAAATTATTTGGGATGTTATACCTCCACTTTTAGCCTTTATTCCCTCCTCTACCGTATGCAATTCCTTAAATAAAGCCTTCGTCTTTGAGTAAGCTAGTGATAGCCTTTGTTGGCTGGGAACGGAGATGAAGTAGGCTTTCTAAAAAAATAATTATAATGTGATGTTCATTTTTAATATAATTTATTTTTCAAAATGTACCAATTTCTTTTCCTTATCAAACAGCGGGCAATCAGCTGGCCCGTATCGGAATGGCAGCGGAAATTCCTGGCAAAAACTTCGCTTGGCGTATTTTAGAAAACAGCCCTCGTCAATCGTCTGAAAATCTGAGATTCATAGTTATACCGCAACCTACCGTATTTGTACAACATGTATTGTCCTCATCCTCGCAAGCATTCTTTCCAATATACTCCAAAAATTCGTCGATCCACATGGTTCTATCGGCAAAGTCTGGGTTTAGATCACGAAGTAGATGAGCAGAGTCCTTAGAAAAATAGACAAAACGTGTTAAATTTTAATAGACCTGTAACTCCTCCACTTTTTGCACCGTTGTCAGGTTCACACCGGAAAATGAGAAAACTCCCTCATCGAATGGATTTAAGGAACTTGAGTCGCTAAAATTAGATCTGTTTTTAAAGGGATGGCGCCAGGAAACTGACTGATTTGGGTTGATCCCACGAACGTAGTTTATAGTATGGCGAAGATTCCGATTTTTCTCAAAGCAAAAGAATGGGCGGTGATCGTCAAACCATTCATAGGGATGGGAAGAGCGTAGGTACTGTAACTCGTCAAAAGCTACGGAAACAGGCATCAAATAAAGATTTGAAATGCAACCTTAGGTTTGAACTTAATAATGATACCTGCATTGGATTACTTTCAGGCAGCTGTATCCCTGGATGAACAAGGAGAGCGTATAACGAGACAAAAGCTGTTAGCAGTGTTATAAAAAGACCGAGGTATCTATAAAGCTTAAACCTATTTAATTTTTTTCTGCATACCTCAACTTAAAAATCCAGGCCGATACTCTCGACGCAGCCTTCTCATAGAAACCATCTGTCTTCTCAAACAACAATCGCTTGAGTTGGTTAGAATATCGATTTCTTGGGCCACATTGGGTTAAGGACATGGCTGCGGGCAGTAGGAGAAGTACCAGTATATAGTTAATAGCAATTGTTAGCGTAGCGTAGATCCCAAAGCATCTGTAATTTTTAGATCGTCAGTGTCAGGAACCAAACAAGGAACAAGAAACAAGGAGAGCGTATAACGAGACAAAAGCTGTTCTTACCGTACAACAATCACAGGGCTCGACAGATTTGAGATGAAAGCAATACAAGTCGTCGAGCTGGTGACAAACATTGAAATTAGGGAATGAGGTAGACTGGCACGAAGAAGTTCAGTTCTAGAGACCATCTAAAATATTTATGGTAACGTATCCATAATCCAACCGGTTTTTCGAGCGATGAATTTGATGATGTTAAAATAAAGTGCTGGCTCCCGGGTTTTCGAAGCCGCTTTTCTTCACGCAAATACACCAACAGCAAAAACGCGTCATCAGCTCCAATCGATACCATAAGCACCAGTGTAAGTAGGTTAACAAATGGGAAGAATTTTAGCGCCAGAATTAACTAAAAAAAAGTGCTTGGTTACATGTAAAGTGTTTTTCTTACTGTATAAATGGCGTATGCAGTTGTTAGGGAGAGCAATACCGTAGCCAGGATAACTCCCGTAAATAGGAAAGATCTGGAGTAGAGCAGGAAACAGATCAATACTAATAGCAACGAAACGCCGCCAAGAAGAACATCAGGAAGGATGGATTTTCGAAAAAGAGTTAGCTAAAACAGCCGACATAATTTTTGAATTAAAATTTGTCTTACTTTTTGCTCAAAGTAAGCTCCTTTCAAAGTGATTGCCCCGGTGAAATTGACTTCTAGCTTTTCAAGTAATGTTTCATAGAATTTTTCCGCATTTTCGCCGGTCTTGTAGACATTCAGCTAAATTAGTGCAAATAATTCTAATAAAGGTAAATTTACAAACCGGTAATATGGCTGCGACGTAATAAGGCCTTCCTTTCAATGGTCCATCCTTTAATATATAAGTAAAAATCTGCCTATACAGCTTGAAATCACAATTTGGGTCGCTTTTATTGTGATAACAGTTGAGAATTCGCTTCTTCAGATCTTGGACGCTGTAAAGAGATCAATTTAACACCTTTTGATGCATTTACTTACTTCTCTTCCGATAGTTGATCACAAGTATTCACCGTTTTTGTGTCAAAACAAAGAGCATAATTTGGGAGGTTCATTGAATGGCGAATCTTTAACGGTTTTTACCTTTCTGAATTTTTTTAATACCTTTTCATGCACATAAATTGAAGGTATCTTGTGAATTTTTAGTGCTTCTCCGATAATATCATCGATAAGGCAAAGCTGCTTCATGTTTTTGAGAAGAAAAAGCTGGAAAAAAATGAATTTTGGCTGGCAGCAACCTCCTCAATAGAAGACACTTCAAAAATCAATTTCGCCATTGGATCGATGGTCAAATATGGTATGCCCTCACCAATGGCATAATACTGTACACAGACATCCTAAAAAGAATTGCACTTGGTAGAATAAAACCTACATTCAAATCTTCTTCCACGGCTTCTGCTTCCTTTCCATAGTCATTATAGTCGTAGGTGCTCTCCTCTCTAGATATTTTAATCAAAAATGAAAGCAACATACAATGGTTCCTCGGTCGTTGTATTCTCTATTATTTCCCGTTTTTTCCTCATATCAAAAAAATATCCAGATGGAGAAGTGATATGAGCTTCAATCTGATCCAAGGCCAACCGTTGACCTGCCAATTCCGTGCCTCTAGTTTCGAAGCCCTAAAAAGAATGAAAAGTTTTTTAATTTAAGTTGAAACTGACCTCCCCAGGCTCTAAATTAAAAGCTTTGTGGTGATAGTAAATGCCAAGGAAGGAAAACATCGTCGAAAAGCTCAAAGTTAATATAAGCGTCCACCATGGGTAACCGATGACGATGTGGCAGTAGCTAAATAGTTGTACATTCTTTGTAGTAATTTGGACATTGTTAGTGTATATTTTATTTGGAATTATGAGTTTTATTGATCGGCAAAACTAGCAGCGCGCGCACCATTTATCGATCACCCCCGATCAATGGGGATGGGGAAAGGGCTCTCCCCCTGTCCCCTGTTCCCAGCGTCGCATGGCCAAGTGGGCTAGGCGTTTGAACCGAAATCCAATGACCAGAAGGTCGGCTTGGTTCAACGCTTAATGCGGCTAAATGTTTTGCTTTTTGCCTAAATAGTTGATATATGCAATTGTTAGGTCCCGGCAATGTTTAGAAGGTGATTATTTTGGCTATTTTGCCTAGATTTCCTAGTTTGATGGAGCTATCGGTTTCATTCGGCATGTATCTTCTTCTTTACATCCTGCGTATTTAATTCCCACATTTTTTTACGATTATATATTGCTTCCATGTGCGTTTCAGTCTTCAGAAGCTGAAAAAACTTTTAAGAAATGACTTACTGATCATAAATTCTGCCGCACAACCTCTGCAACCGGAAAAGCATCAGATTTACCGCTTTTTGTAGCAAAACGGAATAGTGTGAAGCTTTTGGTTATGGATAATTGCTGGTTATAGATGGAGGGAGAGAGCAGGCCACTATGCATTCGGTCGTAAATGCGCACATTCCGCCCCGATCCGTTCAAACCATCGCAAACATTTTAGCAGATCGACACAATGGAAGCGGCCGGTGAGGGGGCGATGTAAAGTTGATATTATAATGCGTTGGGGTGTACTGTAGATTGATACTTTCACAATTTATGCTGAAAAATGGTATATGACCGAAAGCGAAGTTACAGGCACTATGAAGTAATGGAGAGGAAAGGAAGGACAACGTTCAAGGAACAAGTTTCGAAATTTGGTGATGAATAGGAAGAGGTAAGAATTGTTTGGGAAATGACAGCTACCGTATTCTACCATTTTTCAAGAAAAGAATTGAAGGATGAATTAGAATGAAAGAGGGGTTTAGGCTAGTGCCGGGGAAGAAGATCCGGCAGCCACTTCATTGAGAGCTTTTTCTACGTCTTTCAATTCGATGCAAGAATTGCGGGGGGAAAGACCAGACGGGCAACGGTGGTCCTGAAAATTATTTTTATCATAAAAATCGATACAAATAAATTTACAGAAAAGAAAATAAAGACCTACCCCATCTGGCGATCCATTCTGAATAATTCCAGAGCCATAGATGCGTAAATGGCTGCTCATCGGGGAAACATTCGTCGAATTACACGCACTAAATAATCGTTTTAGGTTTACTTTTTAAATTGCAGACATTAACTTCTTGAATTTACATACCTGGTATTCGTCGACGGAATGGCAGAAGCTTGACTTCCGCGCCTTGGCGCTGCTCGAAGTCGATCTATTAGTGCGGCAATCATCAGCGTCCAGGCACGACAAGCATCCGGGAATCCGCGGACACAGTCCTAAACCATTAATTTGCATAATTACCGACATTTCCTAACAATTTCCGTCATTTTCATTGCCCCTGAAATACCTGTATCACGACGATGTCGATAAAATATTCCCCAATCTTCTCCCAATGCTTGTTCATAAAGCCGTACTGCTTCAAATATGCATGTCTGCGCCCTAAATTTTCCAAGTTACATAATTACAAAAAGATGAGCTCACCAATCTTATCAATATGCTCAAATATCATCTGGGGATCATGCTCGAGTTGTGCGACCGTCTGCGAAACCAACGAGACGAAGAAGTGCGTATGATCACGGAGTGTAGCAATCTACAACATAGAAATTCTACAAATCCACAAACAAACTACACACCAAACCGAGTTAGTCTAGCTGTTAGGCTAAATATTAAAAATATCTCGCTCTCTAACGCTCTGCCTCGACTCTAAACTACATGCTAAGAAAGGGAAGGAATAATGGAAGCAAAATGCGTTACCCTCATTCGACCCTTCCCAATGCTGTCCTGCAACGAATACGCGATAGTAAAGGCAAAGCAACTTAAGATGAAAATGGATATATTAAAAACAAAGGAATTAAAGGACTACAAACAACATCACATACCGAGCGACCATTACTTGTGCGCCGCTCACAGCGATCGGCCATTGAATCGACGAAGGCAGCTTTGTAGAAGATTTCCTTGATAGCTTTGTCTTTCTGAAACAGGTAGTTATAGCTTTTGAAACGTCGTTTAGGACTTACACTATCCAGCTTCTCCCAGACGCGTTCGATGAGGGCAACGATACCTTTGCAGTTACTTCTGGGTGGTTCGCAGAGACGGGCCCAGGTGGCTTTTAAGGCACGTACGTGTTCGGTTTTTAGATTCCAAGCGGTTGCCTGCAAGTTAAGGGTTATATGAGTTATTTGGAGCATCAATTTTCCACGCTTATTCATGAATTAACTTAAGATATTTCTGAAAATGATTTTCCTATGCCTATTATTCAATTTTCGAACTCTTTTCCCTCGATCTCATAATATTTTTCATCCTCCCGAACCAAGATATCTCCCGATCCCCTTCTTGCCTTCGAGAAACCGAACCACCCATAAAAAAGACGCGCCAACGTTCAGGAGATATATGCTGGACACGGCGCTATTCCAGGAAAGCCCTGCCCTCCTCCTCGCTTCCGAAAAGCCTTCTGGTTTTGGATAGATGAATGGATCAGGTGGAAAAGGAAATCCTTGGGGACACACGTGGAGGGCGAGAAGCCACCGAACAACAACATCTCCTTCCTTACATATAACTACATTTCAAAATAACATCTTTGACATACCTGGACATAGGACAACGGTTTTGAAAGCTAAAGTCAGCTCAAAAGTTCTTTTAGCCTCTTTTAAGCGTCATTTGTTGTTTCTAGAACTCAAGCCCCATCCCTACGATCTCTCGTAAAAGACCTAGATCTCTATTTTATGTCTATGTGGGTTTTTTGATTCGTTTGGTATCTCGGGAAACATCATAAAACTCGCGAAAACTGACAAGTGTGAGGAGTTTTAGGGCGGGCACCGATCCCGAGCGTTTCCTGATGGGGCCCTCGGGGACGGCCAGCGAATGTTGGCATAGCGAGGCGGCTGAGGAGCACATGCTGAAATCGGGGTGACTTCAATTGGTGTTTAAAGGGGCCAGGAAGGGTGAAAATCGACTCCTTTATCGACTGGGCCTCGACAACTCGGCAAAGTGCCAAAACACTGCTTTAGAGGCGTGAAATTAGAGTAAAAAATTTAAAAACAAACGGGGTCGAGACCCAGCCGATAAAAGAGTGGATTTTCGCACTCCCTTGCCCCTTTCATGCAGAGAAAATATCAAACTTTATCGAAATCCTAAAAATCAGGGTTTTTTAGAATTAAAATGATATCTTCGCTAAACTTTGTTAATCTTTGGCACCTACTATAAGGAATCTAAAGTTTTTTAACGAAATTTCGAGACAAAACCATTAAAGGCTATCTTAACAAACCTCTTCCGATAATAATTCCTCGTCCTTCGCATATAGATTGAATGTACCGACATTTTTACTTATAGAGATAATCTTTAGACAAGATAATTTGTAGTCTATAGTATAGCAATCCCCAAAATGAGAGGCCAGACCTCGACGACGGTGAATCCCGGGATCCGGTGATGTGGGTGCCGTTGGTGAGCGTCAGCACCGAATTGGCCCGTTTCCGCTGAAAATATAAACAATTCACGCATGCCCGCCCTCCGGGTTGGCGACGGTTAAGCGATTTGTTACGCATTCCCCTATTTTGTTTTTACGAAATGTTGGTGCAAGCGAAATAAATTTTGGATTTATTCGGGATTTTAGAGGCCAAAAATCGGTCGTAGATCATTTTGGGGGAGGCGAAAAGTTGTTGCCTTAGGGCATCCGGCGGTCGTGATTTTGATAAATGTGTCTGGGGATTGAGAAATTCCATAAATTACTTTGAAAGGCAGGGATCAGCTAGCGTCATATAATTTTATAAATTTTATTCTTTCACTTACAGTTTTTGCTTGCGCTTGCGTTTTGGCGATCTCCCGCTTTTTGTAGCGGAAGCCGGCGGCTCTGGCGGCGGTCATCATTTTTGCTGGAAAATTAGAAGGTTTTATCCAATATAAAAGTATTTAACGTTTATTTTAAAACTCAATAAATTTATGGAAATCGGGGTTTCAAGCCAATTTTCCAAATGAAAAGGAGCAAATTTTATGCATTGAATAGGGGAATAGCGTGGGAAATGGAAAAGCCGGGCGTGAAACGTTGGCTTGATTGGCTGAGGGGTTGAGATGAGGATGAGATAAATGGCCTGGGAAATTGAGCTTGAATTTGCGGACATTTAGAAGGAGTTTGAGGCCAGTAAAACCCAAATTTACATAAAATTTTTATTGTAGATTGATGCTAGAAAACCTACAAATTTCCGTACTTTCTAAAAAAAATCCTGGAAAATCGACTTTGTGTCCTGGCCACTTTAACCGGAAGCCTTTTTCAAGCATTAATGACAAGCTAAAATACCTGAAATAAAAATAATAAGGTTCTAAGCAAAATTTTAGCGCCCAAAAACTAAACGAGACATGACGCAAACTTGGCCTTACATATGACTCCCACCACCTTAAGAACCGGACAAACATCCCCCACCCCCTCCGGCCATCTAAACAATAGGCTTCTTCGAAGGCCCCAACGCCAATTTCAGAAAGTAGAACCAACACAAAATATTTCCTTTAAGAACACTTGGCCCCCCACCACCACGAGAGCGCACTTTATATCCCTCCTGGGCGGCCTCATAAAAGTCTCTACCCCCTTCTTCGCTTTCAAAAAGGCTTACTGGGCTCATGGTAGCGGGGGGGGGGGGAGACGACCCAAAACATGCCCATCTCTACCCGACAATAAATTTAGACTAAGCCGCCAAATGGTGCTGTGTATTTTTGGGCGGGGGTGACTTCAAAATAGGTACGGGGGAGAGTAACCTTTGGTCCAGATCATAAAATCGGAGGGCTGGGGTGGAATTGAAGAGAAAGGGATTTTAGGGGAACAACGATCAGCGAAGGGAACATTTTCGGGGGTACGGTAGGTTTGGGCACGTCATTTAAAGGGATATGAAAGCTAGGCAAACTTTGAAAATTAAAAATTTCCTCTCTGTTGAGAAATCGGTGTGGTAATTTACATTAATTGCAAATTTCATTAACCGGTTGTTAAAATGATGAAGAGCTCAGGAAAAACTGAAGATTTAGTCCCAAAAATTTAAATTTTTGATGACCAAAGAGTTGTAAATACAGAGGCGGAAGAGAATCTTAGGGATTTATGGTAAATTAAGTATTGAGATTTAAGTAAGTTAATTAGTTCCATGCGCTAAAACATTGGAAATATATCATTATACAATTTAAAAAGCCTAAAGCGTAGTTAAGGTTGAATGATAAAGCAAAATTTTAACACCTATACTTATCTGATTTCGGTTATGGATTGGCCTTGCTAATCCCTTAAATATCAATATAAAAAAGAAATTGCTTAACACAAGAACATAACCCAGCCCGGTTTATGAACTCCCCCCTGCCCCATAACGTGTCCCGCAAATAGAATCGAAAAACGTGAGTTGTGCCCCCCCCCCAGCGACAAACACACATTTTGATCAAATTTGCATGCCGTCCTGGCGCCTCCCCAAGGGACATCGAGCGTACCGAGCCAAGCTTTTCGGGTTCGTCTCCCCCCGCTTGTGGTTTTTGGCCAAATTCGGGAAGGAAAAGCGGTGCGGAGGAGCCGCCAAAAATATGTCCAGACGATTCGTCACGACGGTGCTCGTTGGAAAGCAATGTAGGTATTTTGGAGGGGCGACAAGTTTGTTGGGGGTGCTTTTTGGCAGGTGGATGGGGGGAGGGTGGATATGCGCACCCATCCAAGTATCCGGTGCTCGTGGTTTGGTCATGGATGAAAAGGAAGGGGAGAGGCGTCGGACTTGGTGTTTCGAGCAGCTCAAAAAAGGTGTCGTTTTCAGGAAGGAAGTGGGGTGCCAGATCTAGGAACCTGGTCTTAGGGAGGGCTCTTTAAAGGGAGAGCGACAGAGAGGGGGTAAGCTAGACACAGAGAGAGCCGATTGAAAACAGGTGAAGCAAATAAACAGACAAGGAGGACAGTGAGAGATAAGTTGCTTTAGAGAGAGAGGGAGAGGGAGGGAGAGGGAGAGAGAAGAAGAGAGAGGGTGAGAGAAAGTGCAAGAGAGAAAGAAAGAGAGAGATAGAGAGCAAGAGAGAGAGAGAGAGAGAGAGAGAGAGAGAGAGAGAGAGAGAGAGAGAGAGAGAGAGAGAGAGAGAGCGAGAAAGAGAGAGCGAGAGAGTGCAAGCGAGAGAGTGCGAGCGGGAGAGAGAGATCGAGAGAAAGAGAGCGCGAGAGAGTGCGAGCGAGGGATAGATAGAGAGCCCGCGGCGCACATGTACACGTCTTAAAGAAATTAAAAAATCAGAACTACGCGACCACAGACTTCCCAACTCCTTTAAAACCCCAAAAACCAAGAACATTCTAACCAGCGATCGTCAACCGCGACGAGCGTGAAAGTGTCGACCCGTTATGCCCATCTCTCCCGTTTAAAGGGACGGGGGTGTGGTGGGAAAGCGGAAAAAGACGAGTATGATGGGCCAACGGGTCCCATGGGACACTCCATTCCTCCACATGGCCACCCTCCTCTACCAACACCCAAATCTCATTTATCAGACGCCCGTTACCCTCCTTTCCCCCACCACACCGCCATTTCCGAGCTGCTCAAAAAACGAGCGTGGCCAGACGGGACGGCTCGATTTGGGTCTTGCAGGTTGAAATTGGATTAATGGGATAGGGAAATTAGGTGGATTAAAGCGCCTTTCAGAAGAATTTTACTCACTCACGCTCGGGAATAGCTATAAATCCGTAAAAACCCTCATAATCCTTTACTAAATAGTACTAATCGTACCACCCAGCACTTTCGGCAATTGACAGGTGTGAAATAAAGTTCCGAGCCCAAACTGCCAGTGACAGCTCATCCGGACAACATCGAAAATGTTGGGGCTCTGGATTCGGCCCCGAGACTGCCGAATCCAGACGTTCGACTTTCTGTTTCGCTTCTCGAAAACCTCCAGGGACCAACATAAAAAGGAGTGGCGGGGTGAGACTTTGATTCGGGGCCGCCACAGAAGGGATTCTTTAATTTTAGAGTCTACAAATTGTTGGGTGAGGGGTGTAGCGTCTTAAAGGGGCGGGTAAAGCGTGGCATCGGCGAAGAATCCATAGCCTTGCCTTGCTCGAACCTTTAGGGCTTGAACTTACGTATATTCTCCTTAAATGGAAATTGCGGCTCGCCACTTTCTTTTCTCCTGCCAAATTCGATGGATGGTAAACTGGCCGAACGATCCCTAAATTAAAAATATTTTAAAAGCGTTTCGTCGTTTTTAACGTACCGTAACGGCGGTGCTTTCCCAAAATCATGTTGCCGTTGTAACCGCCGTATGTGCATCTTTCTAAAAACACAACTCAAAATCGGGCATAGTAAAAACCTCAATATTTTGTGAATCAGTAGCGGGGTGGTAAGGCGCATTTTTCAGATATTTCTTTTGGCAGCGGAATTCAAACAACTTAGGAATGACCGATCAGTGGCCGGCGGTTAATTACAATTTTCGGAGAATAGGACCAAAGAGGGTTAGAGGGGGAAAAGGGGGAGACCGAGATTAGTTGCTTTTCGTTCAGTGTAGAAATGGCATAAAATTAAATTTAGTCTGGTGGTTTTTCAGGAGTTTAACGAGCTTTTAAAAGGATTACCACATTTTTTGTAAGATAGGCATGTGCAGTTGCACCTTTAAGCAATAAAAACAATAAAAACATAGATTTTTTATGTAAATCGAACATAATGGAACACCGTCTGAGCGCTTGCTATGCGTGGTGGCCGTCCACGGCGCAGTCATGTCGTGGGAATCAATGCTTATCCAGGGGGGTCCCGGCTTCTCCTAAATGAATCTCAAATCGTGGAGAAGACGGACACACACGATGGCAGCCACGAAACCAGGTCTGAAAAAACGCGTGGAATGTGAAAAATAGGCACGAAATGATGGGATTTTGGGGAAATAAGGTATAGATGGATGGGAGGTCATTACTCAAATCGGTCGGGTTTAATTAAAGCATCGAAATACCGGGTCAATTTTTGGGAAAATAATGTACTGAAATCGTACAATAATATCTTATTGAAGTTTTGCATACATTCAGCTTAATTTCCGTTTCGAAACTACTTTAAGCTACAATGACACACTTCAGAGACACTTTTTCAAGTTCGCATCACGTGATTAGTAGTAGATCGTAACACCTCCGCAATACTCCGAATATTTTTAGCGCAACAATCAAATTCCCCGTACCACCCGGGTAACAAATATTTTTCGCGCAAATGGCACATACGGGTTCACAGGAGTTGGTGAACAACCCGATCTCCTGTTAGAAGCAAATTAAGGCCCCGGAAAGTAGTTTTCGAGGGCGACTTTCAAAGTCTTTCAAACGTCATTTTGTGTAGAATTTTTTGACTTTACGGCCCCGCGACCTTTGTGTTAAGGTATTGTACTTCTTACGTTTGGTGCTATTTGTCTCAAAGCTTGTTTTTTGTTTTGGCCGCGCTCAGAAACTCATTCAGGGTTGTTAGCGCCGCGCGCTAGGTGTAGGTCAATTTTTAGATTTTTTTCTGGGTTTTTGGCCTTCTATAGTCCTTTGAAATACTAAAATAGTACTAAATATAATCTCTATTCATTGCAGATTATTGATTTTTCTTCAATCAATCGAAAAATTGCAGAAATGTCGAGCGACTGGCTATGGTTCCAGCTTTATTATTACGTCATCTATATTTTGAGCGTGTCCGCCAACGCTATGCTCCTATTTTCAATCTGGAAATCACCCGGATTTTGCACGTACCCATGCCGTATTGTTTTCATAAACACTATCGTAGCAGATTTTTTAATATGTACCAACCTGGTGCTCTTGGTCCCAAGGTTGGTGCCACTTCCTGTCTTTAAATTCTTTCATTTAGGCGATTTCCGGTCGGCGATGATATGATAGTATTTTCATACGGTCTATGTTCGACATTAAATTCCAATTTTTGCGAAGTCGGTTGAATATCTTCGATTTTTATACTTTTTTAAGTTCCTCAATATTTTATGGTTTATCCTGCTGGCCGATAACTTAATGGCAATGGCCATATCATTTTTCTGGCGCTATTTTGTGCTCTATCACTTTCAACTTCAAGTGAAGGCGGCGTTAGCATTATGCGTAATACCGTATCTCATCGGCATCCCCTTTTTGGTGAGTTTAAAGGGCCAGTGAAGGCAAAATTTCATCATGCTATTATAACTTTCGGTTTTAGTGGATCGGTGCAAGGAGTACCTTTACTGGACCAGATTTGGTTGCATTAACAAGTACGGTTTTTTTCATAGGAGTGACTATATTTTTTAGATCAAAAAAGTATTGCCCTGCCTGATGGTACGGTAAATTTCGGCTACAGTAACTATATGACGCCGCAACTGGCAATATTGCATGTGTATGCATTGTATCTAACCCCGATTTATTGTCTGTTAATGTTGTTCTTTCGTTGGAAGGTAAGTGAATAATTTTGAGGTTCGGAGATATAAAAATAATTGAACTTTAAAATTTTAGATAGTAAGATATCTTGATAAAACAAGGAAGTTGAGTCGACAACTTGTTGATAAACATCGTGCTCTGATTCAGGTAGTTTTCCTGGGTTTTAGCCTATTTTGGCTTTCCCGTATGCTTTCTTACTGTCACTATCCCTTTAAAATTAGCTTCCAATTATCAAAAGATTATCATAGTTTGCAGTCTACAACCAGCTGTCACCTTTTAAAAAGAATAATTCAGGTTTTATCCGTCCAAATGTGCCTTCCCACCGTCCACATGCTCAACATCGTCATCTACGTTCTAGAGCAAATGCAAATTTTGCATCTAGACTATTTCGATCTTGCTTTTGTTATGGTAACTTTAAAAAATTTGCTAATTGACATTTTTAGATGATCCATCTAATCGCTGCCAGTGGGGGTTGCATATCGTTATTTATAATTCGTCCCTTTCGGAAGCAAGTCATAAGGTTGTTCCGAAAAAGCAGCATCAAAAACAGTCACGTCTCGGTCAGCGTCATAATACATCGTCCCTGCAATAAATAGTTTAAGAAGCCACCTTGCATCACATAGAAAGATTAATTTTATTGATTTCAAAATTTAATTTTTTTGTGGAGAGTGGAGCGTAACTATAATCCATGGCCTTGATTTTAGCAGAGAACTTTGCTTACAAAAATATTTCCGGAGCGGAAACGACCTACATAAAATGCACAAGATTTGAATGTGAAGTTAGATTAAAAAGTTACGCGCAGAAAACACTTCATTCTCTCGCTGCTCTGTTGAGGTATGTTTGCTTTGTCTAGCAATTGCTTTGATATTTGTCGAAATTACGTAAACTTTGAAAACGGAGGTTGATTTTTTTCGAATACTATCCACTTCCAAGTATCTCGGTTAGAAGGAAGCTTTAGCCAAAACTAGGTCTAAAAAGCTTCCGTTATAGAAAATGGGCGACAAGCCGCACTCTTCGTCTGAACTCTCTAAGGTTTTTCTACAATAATATCTATGATTATTTTTCTCCTAGGTGCGTCCTCGCATCCACCTCAAGAATTCGGGTACACGTCGCGACGTTGACCCAAGGATCACGGCCCTCCTCGGCTCGATGTGCGTTTGCTTTTTAGTTTTGATGTTTTAGCGTTTTTCTATGAGTACCGCAGTACCGCATTGGTATTGGCTTTGAACGTTAGGAGTGAGGAGGCGTATCTTCCCGTTTTAGGCCCTCCACGCGCCCGCCGTTCCGCTCGAAGACTTTTGCGCAGGAGGTCATCTGCAAGAAGCCCCGCTCCCACTCTGCTCCTCCGGGCTTCCGTTACTATGTAATTTCCTGTCTAAATTCTTCCCCAAATTTTTCCTAGCGTGCTGTGTGGCCGGAGAAGAAGCCAATGGATAGCGGTAATCAGGTGTGTATTGAGCCCTTGTTTTTGATTTGTTATTTCGAATGCGGATCATTGTTTAATTTATAGACTCTGCCGACGTCCAACTAGCCGGCGAACCGACGAGCCGCTGCACACAAAGGGACCGTATCTTAAAACTGTATTAATAGATTACGATGATAATTGTTTTTGTAGTTTTTTCGACTTCATTGTGATTCTTAAAAGCGTGATATTTCCCGGTGCGAATAAAATTCTGGTATTTAAATGAACTTTGTTTGCAATTCAATTAACATTTCGTTGAACCTTTTTTGTAACCGTCGGGCTTTTGGCTGTCGGATCGTCGTTGTCGGGATTTTGCTGTCGGGATTGTGCTTGTCGGCGTTTTTGCTGTCGGGATTTTAGCTGCCGGGATTCTGGTTGTCGGGATTTTGCTGTCCGGATCTTGGCTTTATTCCTTATGGTCCCTATTCTCCTCTGTACCTGATTTTTGTAACATCAAATCCCCATTTTCCGGCTCCACAGCTCCTATAATCATCCCGCCGAAACAATTCGTTCTCTGCCCCCAAAAATACTTGCATCCCCCCGTTACTTCTCCCCAGGGGCCGCAATCATCATGCCGCAAATTGCGCATATGACCCTAGCGTCCTGGATAACGAGCAGAAAAGCCATAATTCTATTTGCACGCGAAACAACTTACGCCGGCGCTATGCCAATTTGTGTTAAAAAAACGGGTGCCCCGGTCTTGTGGATATATAAGTGATGGAAAATCGTACGATTCATTGCTTTATTTTGACACCTTGAGCGGTAAATGCGTTTTCAAGTACGTGGCAGATTTGTTAAGTGTTATTTGGGCCTGAGGCATGATTCAGCTGTTCGTCAGGCCCCATTTATATGTTCACTATACTTCATACGTTACACTTTAAATATTACCGAAAATCTCTGATTTTTTGATCTATACTTAATATAAACGTTGTATTAATTTTGTTATCAAGACGAGATTTTTTTAATTATTAAAGCAATACTTCAGCCGTTATTTGTTACTAACGCATTTATTTTTATTTTTTAATTATTCGCAAGACATCTAAGTTTTCAAATTAATTTTCTGTAGAAAATGTCGAACGATTGGCTGTGGTTTCAACTATATTACTATATCATCTACCTCCTTGCCGTCTTGGCCAAGGGAATGCTACTCTATACCATGTGGAAAGCTCCCGGCTTCTGCGCCAAATCCTGCCGGATCGTTTTCCTGAATACGCTAATTGCCGATTTTCTAATATGCACCAATTTGGTACTGTTGGTGCCTAGGTGAGTACTGTCATGCTCCCTTGAAAGCTGTTTAGACGAATGCCAGCGGGGGATAGCATTGTTCTATTCGCATATGGTGTCTGCTCAGCCGTGCCGGGCATGTGCGAGGTTTGTAAATATTGATATGTTTTTACTAATTGGTTCAGTTCTTAAACGTTCTTTGGTTTGTTCTGCTGGCCGACGGATTGATGGCGATTACGGTGTCTTTTTTCTACCGGTATTTCGTGCTGTATCATCGCACGTTCGAGCCGAAATGGTCTTTTGTGCTTTGCGTTGCGCCGTATTTGATTGGGATTCCGTTTTTAGTGAGTTTAACGGGTTATTAAAGTGACCGAAAACGACTGGCTAGCGCGCGTTACGTGTAGCGGTGCGGTCAAACCAAATAGGGGCCGATACCTCGCAAAATCCATAGCCTTGGCTTCACCGCTCTTCTAAAGTCTAGCAAATTTTTTAGATCATTGGTCCAAACCTCTCAGTCACCGGAGCGGAATTGACACAGATAGCTGGTAAGTGAAATAATCCGTAAATTAGGGTAACCTAATTATAACTTAAGCGCATTATACTTTTTATATTGAAATCTATCCCATTACAGTCCGCGAAAACATCGAGATCCCAGTGGGGACTGTGAACTTTGGGTACAGCACCTTTCTAACACCGCCCTTACTCCTTTTGCATACCTATGCTTTGTATTTGACGCCTGTGCACTGTATCCTGATGTTCTGGTTCCGTTATAAGGTATGTCGGTTTAATTAAATCCATTTAAAGACTCTAGCTTTTGTTTTTGAAGTTTTCATTTCAGGTGAACAAGTATCTCGATAAATCGTGGGCGCTGAGTCGTCAAACCTTGTCTAAGCATCGGGCTTTAGTGAAAGTAAGTTTTTCGGACTGTTTTTTGTCTTGTTTCGAATTCGAAAATTTCGAAGACCGCGACGTGCAGGCAACGCTTTCATTTCAGGTGCTAACCATTCAAATGTGTATGCCATTAGTCCACATGCTAAATATCATTATCTACATCCTCGAGCAAACTTCCGTCTTAAAGCTGGCCTATTTTGACTTGGCTTTTGTTATGGTAAATTTTTTATATGAGAATTAACTATGTTTTCTGCGTTATATAAGTTATTCTTAACAAATCTTTAGATAATCCACCTCTGCGCAGCAAGTGGCGGCTTTGTCTCCCTAGCCATAATTCGGCCATATCGAAAAGAAGTTGTCCGACTATTCCATCGTATCACTACAAACTCCAGTCATGTCTCTTCCATCTCTGACCATTCTCTTCCACCAATCAAAACACCCCTCTAAAAAATAGCTTTATTCCGAAAACAAGCATCACTACAAAAGGCATAAAACCAGTTTTCCGAATTATATGGGGGGAAGGGAATGGCGTGAATCGTGGTTTTGATATTTCGAATGTGTGGAAATAAATATTCCATGGTGGAAATGAGATTTGGGAAAGGAAAGACGTTGAAGTGAAAGGATGGAAAGGCAGAGACGAGCCAAAGGCAAAGTTCAGATGTACAAACACCGTATAGGGTACACACCCTCAATATATCGAGGGTAAGAATGGATGGGTGAAAATGTGCCTAGAAAGACGTGTAGTTTAGGGTGAATCGCTGGTGGAATTGGCTACGGTATCGTGGTGTGGCCGTAGATTTATGGCTGCCAGGCGAGAGCGTATTGACCGTTCTTCTCGACCTTGCAGGTCTTGCCCTCCTAAATTCAGATATTTAAATTTATTCCGTTATTTCATCACAAAAATGCTGTCAAGAACCTAATTTCGTAATTTTGATGCAAAAATTACGGTTTTACAACAGTTCAGTTAAAATTTTCAGCACCTTTAAGTAGTTTAAATACGCTCAATTATCGTTATTCCAATTCCTAATTTAGGTTACGGTACCTTGAAGTGCGACTTGTAGGCAAAATCGTCCAAAGCGACCACGGTCTCGAACTTTCCACCTAGCGAGCCTTCAGCAGATTTTTGGATTCCATCAGCCGCACCGAGGAGATCATCTCCTAAGGTTACTTAGTTACACAAAATAATAATAAAAATTTACCTCCCATAGCTCCCATCATGGCGCTCTCAAGGCCCTTGTCGCAGCAGGTAAAGCCTGGAAAAAAGTAGAATTTTGTGGTTTATTTTCCTTTTTATTGTTTCGTGTTTTTAAATTTCGCAGAGTTCAAGTGATTTCTCTTTTCGCCAAGATCGTCATCCCGTTGCCCGGCGTCCTAATCGTTCCCTCTCCCCCCAATTACTGAGAAATGCCCCTTGGCTACAGGGGGAAGGGAGCATTGACCTTGAGGGAAAAGTCGAAATGCCTACAGGCCATTGTTCTCCACAAAGGATGGTAGAAAAAGAGTGAGAGAGCTAGACATACCTACACAGAGAAATCGTGGCTTGACTCGAGCCACCGTGCAAAAAATAGGCTGGGAAATGGTTGGGTGGGTGGTGTGCCCTCGGGGGGAACAGACATCATCATTTCCTACCTGAATCGTTAATGTAACAGCCGCTGTCCTGGGCGAGGACGATGCTGAAGATGATGGCAAAGACGGACAATCGGAGATACATGGCGATTGGAGGGGAGAGATTTACCTGAAAACAGAATAGTGATTAGAAACTGCACGGACAGGAAAATACTGGTACAGTTCGAGGCCAAAAAAGAAGCATAAGTATGACGCAGGCCAAAATTATATTTATATTGCGAAGCGCAATTCGATTCTTGCATCTTAACCCGAATGACGCTTTCTCTTTAAAATCACAGAAAAATAGTAGTTTCACAGGTAAGACGGTGGATTTCTAGCTGAACAAAACCTTTAGCGCGTACTGTCGTTTGTTTTCTTGCGTAGTGGTACCTCTGCTCCATTCTAACGAAATTAGAAATTCCTTCCTAACCCTCAACCAAAACATCTGCTTGAGGTCCGGAATTTCAAGAACATAAGGCTAAACAAGAACCTACTGTAAGAATCAATCTTACTCTTACTCGAGAAGAACAAATTAGAACCACCGGTACCCATGACAAGAATGACCCGCAGGGGGTATGTGATGGGAAATTGAGGGGGGGAGGAGGAGGAGGGGAGGTTGGAATTTCCGATGAAAAGACGAGAAGGAGCAAGTTTCAGTGACTGCCTAAAGGCTTTCGAGATGAGAGAGAGAGAGAGAGAGAGAGAGAGAGAGAGAGCGACTGGTTGTGAACCGGTAAGTTGGCTTCTTTTTCTAGGTGGTCTCTCATTCTCGGGCGGTCTCTAAGCTTCACGGGAGGGATTCGAATACGGATTTGCAACCATCCAACCAGTCTTGTGTGTGGAGGGGGCTACTGGTGGTTGTCAGTGTTGAATGTGAATCTGGTCGAGTCCATTAGGAGGGGTTGTTTACATGGGGGGTTAAAGGGGCATGTAAGCGTGGTTGACTTATGGATTCTAGGTATCTAGGCATGGTTCATTAAGTTACTTTAAAGGGACTCCCATTCTTTGGTCCTGGTTTTTTAGGTAATGATTAGGATTATTTTCGAAAGTACGCGCCCCACGCAAGTCGAAATCTCCGTGGAGCCCGCTTTTAAAGGTAAAGGGTTATTAAAAGGACAGAAAAGGTCCGACGATTTCGACAACTTCAACACGTCACGCAGTGTGTGCGTTAAGTGTCGCGGTAAGGACATGTAGAAACTTCAAAGTACTTACCACCCTTTAAAGACAGGATTTGAATGACCGAATGCCTGGCTAGATGCCAGTAATATATCGACAAACGACCAGAAGTAAGCCTTCAATCTTCCTTCCGAAGCTCAGGATCAGTGGGGCAAGCTGACGCGTAATGAGCAGCCTACGAACTTCCCAACGAATGATAAGCATCCGGGGACAAGAAGCCGATGGCAGAAGGGGGAGGAGGGAGGACGATACGCATTAGGCGGGGGGGTGAGGGCGGAACGGGGAAGGTCATCCCACAAAAAGCGGTTACGGCATTCAAATTAAAGGGGCTGGAAAGAGAAGGGGCAGGGGGTTATCTGGACAATGGCAGCTTGGATGGGTGTACTTAAGAGGAGGTTGAGGTAAGTTTTTTTGAAGGTTTGACCTGTCTGGAAGGGCGAACTCGCTGGGGTACGGTAGCTATTTATGCGCGGATTCTGGAGGATTTGCAAATGAGCATTTTCGGGCTATTAAAGGTACACGTAAGGGGAAAACAGGGTTGAATGATCGATTTATCGGTTCATGATGGTATTTATTTTAAAGCATTTGGCAGGACGAAGACAATGGTATTTTTTAGCTAGTAATTCACAAAGTGCTGTATTTAACTAAAACGTTTTAGGGGGTTTAAAGGGATTCTGACAGCGAGAACGCGGCTATTGAAATTTATCGCGAATTGTTCTTTCCAATTAGAACACGGTAAAAATTATTGTCAAAAATACAAAATTTAGATGCATATAATTTTTACGTCGTTTTTTAACAACCTATTAAGGCGAACAGCGCTGAGGCTCAAAATAGAAATTTTTATGGAGCTTAAAAGGACTACAACAGTTAAAAAATGGTTCAGATACTGCCTACAACTTTTTAAAATATCTGTTTAACGAAGTAAACTTAAAAACTATAATAGGGTTAGAGATGTTGCCAGAAACACCATATCTTGATGAATATAACTTCCTGAAGCACCGATCATTTCTGACAAGCCTAACAAGGAAACGACAACCACTCCACCCCCGAAACGATAATTTGACTGCCGCTTTCACCCAAAAAAAGCCTCCGGCCTGAGCACGAAATGTCAGCAAATGAATGGCAAAACGGATGGCAGGACTGAACTGAAAGCAGCATTTGGGGAGGTGGAGGTTGTGGAGGAGGAGGAGCAGGGGTTCTCCTCTTCTCATGGTCCGCTTTTAGACTGCTCTCACTCGCTGCTCTTGCTCCCCCCTTTTGAATCCCCTTTAATGGAGAGGCACAATAAGAATTCTCCTCTCATCGCATCGGCTCGTTGCCACACGGCCATGTCAGCCCCCACAACTCGTCAACCTTTTTTTCGAGACAATGGACTGAAACATAGGAGTGGCGAGCAGAGCGGCTTCAAATCTGATTAGTTGCCCGGGGAAATGGGGGGGATGTCGTAGAAGGGCAAGGGTACTGTGTATGGATGTTGTTTGAAGAATGGTAGGTACAATGGTTGAGTTTAAAAGAATGGAGAAAGGGTCTTGTCATGTTTTTTTAATTTCCTTGCATTAAGGGTTACTGTAGACCCTTACGGTAAAGGGCATTGATGTTGCATCTAAAAAAGTGTACTGCGTACGTATATAATTTGGGAACGATAGGTACGTTATTTGAGCTTAAAGGATGGTAACAGTGGGAACTTTTTTAGTTGTATGCTTCGCGCTACTAGTACGATTTTACTTTTTGGTGATAATGTGTTACGGTAGGCATTTATTTGGAAGTTCCGCAAGATATTTTTGTTCAAACCTGCTATGACAATTATAATTTATTTTTATCTAATTTTGCAAAAAAAGCGAATTGAAAAATTCGCTTTTTTTTAGGGGAGAAAAATTCTCCCCTAAATTGATAGTCCCGGTAATTTTTCCGATACTTTCCAGTTTCAGCGGGAGACCCGGTTACGGTAGATGAGTAGCGGGCTGGACACATCCTGTAGATTTTATATCGTATTTTTATGTAGATATATTTGCATAAAAATTATTCTTTGTAGTAGATTTATTTCCCGGTATGATGCTAGACTTTTCCGGAGCGTTACGGATTACGGTAGAGGTGTACTCCTGCGGAATCCTTTAAAACGATGGCGATTCCGGGTTTTTTTTGTTAATAAATAGACGAAGCGGAATCTGATTTTGCTAATTCCAGGAAAAGCTCAATTTTTGCTGTGGTTTTCAAGCAGCAGCAGTATAAGTGAAGCAGGCCTCATAGACCCAACTTCAACAGCGGATACTTCAGAGAACGGCCAAAAATCCCGACATAGCCAAGGCATTGACCTACACCAAATGTTTATGATGGATCAAAGGCATATGTCTGGCGCAACCAGGGGCAAGGATGGGCGAGGTTGAGTGGAAGGAAGGACGGAGGTCCAGGGGGGGGGGCTTTGGGTCCTAACAGAGGGCCCCTTTGGACCTTAGGAATGAGGGAATGAAGCATTGAGGTAAGCCGGAATGAGGGGCCCAGGGCCCCACTTGGCCATATGTTACAGCGGCCACGCCACTCTCCCCTCTGAGGCCGCTTCACTTCCTATCGTTTGTCTATGTGTCTAGATATTGAAGTTAATTTGTTTTTAATAATGATCTTAGGGTTTGAAAGTTTTGGATCGATTTGTGGGGGAGTCGGGGGTTCAAGCGTCAGCTGTCAGTCTATAATTGAGATGTATGGGTGGCGGGTGTTTTACGGAAATCGTTTTTCGAAGGCTTCAGGGGTTGGGAGCTCCCTTAAAATCTCGCTCGCTCTCTTTCTCTTTCTCTCTCTCTCTCTCTCTCTCTCTCTCTCTCTCTCTCTCTTTCTCTCTCTCTATCGATTCTTTATCCCATGATATTTCACAGAATATGAGGCGCCGATGGCAACCACGGTAATGGGACTGATATTGATTCTAACAGCAGTGTTGTTAGTTTTCTCCGGACATGGTGAGTTTTCGAAGCTAACATAACTGTAGATTTCGAATATATGTAAAATTGTCCAGTATTTATAATGAAAATTCAGGGGACTGCTCAGAGGCGGAGGAACGGTTGATGATCGATGTTTTTCGGGGTTATAATTATTTAATCCAGGTTTGTTGTTTTTTTAAAATCAGTGAAATCGTTTAAAAACCCTTTTCAAAGTTTTTAGGCTATATTCAAACTTTTTAAGCTTTTTACAACGATTTCGATACATTTTTTGGCTCTCGGCTTCTGATTTGATGTAACAATGCTCCATTCTTCACTTTCACCTTACCGTCACCTCTATAATCCCTTAAATCAATACCCCCAGCCTATAGCGTGACCCTCGGAGGTGTTACGGGCTGTATCATATTACCCTCTCCCGGCTGTTCAAGTTACTCTTAACAATTCCAGCCGGTCCGAAATCTCTCCGAACTGCCGGTTGTCGTCAAGGTGGCCCTCCAGCTGGTCTTGCTCATTAATGTGGATGAGAAGGAGCAAGTGATGCATACAAATGTTTGGGTCACATTGGTAATAAAGTACACATTCAAAAAAATGAATAAAATTCCTTAGAAATGGTACGATTTTCAAATGAGATGGAATCCGGTGGACTACGGAGAAATTCAGAATATACGAGTCTCACCTGATAAAGTGTGGCTGCCGGATATTGTGCTCTTTAACAAGTAATTGATTGGTTTTAATTTTATATAATTAATTTCAGTGCGGATGGTACTTTTGAGGTATCGTTCATGTGCAACGTCGTGATTGAGCATGATGGTTCGATGCTCTGGGTACCGCCAGCAATCTATAAAAGCTCTTGTATTATAGGTATGCCGCAGTATGCTTTATTTTATGTAAATCAATCTAATTTAGATGTGGAATACTTCCCATTTGACGAGCAGACTTGCCACTTGATTTTCGGCTCATGGACGGTTTGGGTTTTGTAGAATTTTTAAAACTATGACTTTTGCAGTATAACGAACAAGAGATTACATTGGAATTCGAGAAATCGGAATATGTTGATTTATCTGGTGAGTTTAGTTTTTCTCAAAATTAATTATATTTTAAGAATACGCCCCTTCTTCAATTTGGGATGTAATCGATGCTCCGGCGTCGCTAGTCGATAAACGGAGTCGAATCGAGTTCCAAGTAAAAATCAGGTGGGTTAATTTATTAGGCTAATTCAGCTTAAAAATATATAAAAAGAATTATGAATAAAATTACAACCATTTAGAAGAAAAACTTTATTCTACACTGTTGTGCTCATCATTCCCACCGTTTTGATGGCCTTCCTATCAATGGCTGTATTTTTCTTGCCGACAGATTCGAGTGACTCTTTGATAGATTCTTTGATTTGAAAGGATCAAGACTCTTTAGCGTTACCGACCTTTTTAAAGGGAGCGTGCCAACAAATTTCAAATTTTCAGCCGAGAAGATGACGCTCACAATCTCCGTCTTGCTCTCTATCGTCGTGTTTTTGTTGCTGGTCTCCAAAATTTTACCTCCAACTTCTAGCACAATTCCGTTGATGGCAAAGTAAGAATTTTTTTGAGATATTTAAAGCTTTAAATTTAGGTACCTTCTGTTAACCTTTGTCCTAAACGTCATTACCATCCTGACGACCGTCATTGTTATTAATGTATATTTCCGTGGGCCACTCACCCATGATATGCCGCAATGGGTTAGGCGGGTGTTTTTGGAGGTATGTAATATTATTAAGTTTTTGAGTATTCTACGGAATCCCTCTAATTGTTTGTTGTGCGAATATTGTTTATTCTTTTAGATTCTGCCCAAATTCATGTGCATGAAGCGTCCGAAAAGGATCAAGAAGATGGCAAAACGCGATAAGAAGGTCAGTGGGTTTTTTGCTGAGCTGATAATTTAGAGGGGTAATTAATTAACCTATATTATAAAAAGGGTTTTTAGCAATCAAATGGAGCCGTCGCGGCGGTGCCAGGACTTGGTAAATTTACGCTTAACACGGCTGAACACCATCCATTTTGTGCGAGTGGCAGTGTTAAGGACAGGTGAGTATTCTATGAAAATTGTGGAAATTAAGTATTAAGAACCCATCTGGCGCCTCCATCACCGGATTTGCACATAAAGCGTGATCCACAGACAGCGTTGTTTTATCCGTTGACAGCCGATGGCATACGGTAGGCTTCAGGGAGCGGTGAAGAGAGAGAGAGAGAGAGAGAGAGAGAGAGAGAGAGCTGGAGCTTGTGAGAAAAACTAAAAAAACGCAACTTTCAGAGCAATTGATGCTATTGAATATATAACCGACCATCTCAAAAAAGAAGAAGAACACAAAATGGTAATTTTAAAGCCGTAGGCAACAAATAAAACTTAATTTTAGCAACGTGACGATTGGAAATATGTTGCAATGATCATCGATCGGCTACTCCTTTATATTTTCTTCGGGATCACCGTCGGTGGTACGTGCGGGATCCTGCTCTCAGCGCCCAATGTTTTTGACGGTAATTCAAATCTTTTACCACTGGCATTACCTATTTTCTAGTCGTCGATCAACAACGGATTCTCGATGATCTTCGGCACCTTTATAACAATAAAAAGCCGAGTTAGCGGCTGATTGCTGCTGTGCTGTTATTCGTTTGGTGCTCATCTTCTAGATCTCAGTTTGGTGGTGCTTTCTTGAGTAATAAAATGGTTAGAATTGAGGGTTTAGCGGTTACGGCACATTATTGTTTTTACTTAGGGTCATTCAAGTCCCCCCACGTTCCAGGCAGGTTTTATATTTATACGATTTTACTAATCTTCAAACCGCTTTTAATCTGCCCCACAATATAAGCTTTTCTGGAAGAATTTTTAAGGCCTATTTTGTATATTTTTAAATTACTGCCGTACATATAGGCCCGTTCCCTACACCATCCCAACAAAATACTCGACAGGAGATCGAGGGTGGCAATAATTAGAGGTTGGCTTTCCTGACCCAAGCCCGGGGGTCAGGCTTCAAACGCCCCCAGGGTCATTAGACCCGGAACGGGTGCTATGGACAGACAGACAGACACAAATCGCTCTGGGGATCACGAGAGAGAGGGAGAGAGAGAGAGAGAGAGACGGACAGACTGGCAGATTGTGTCCCCGTTTTGGGTCCCAACCAAATGCCCTGCGGCGCGTCTGTGTTTGCCCTCGTGCCAGCCACCCTCCCAAATAGCAAGCCGGCTAGCGGTTGGGGGCCCTGTCGCCAGATTCAAATTTATGGTTTCAATATTTCCTTTATATTGTCTTAAATGTTAACGTTGCTATGAATTTTCGAACCCTTTAATTACTATTAGCTATTACGATTTATTCTCTTATTTTTGGGCCTGATTTGACTTCCGAATCTCGTCATTATACCGGCGATAAGCTCTACGCCTGGAGCCGGCTTTTTTTGAGACGGGAGTCACCGGCGACTAGGGTGATAAGCGCTGGCTCGTGGCCCCTGTTTTTTGAATGTGCAGAATAAACAAACACACACAGCTGGGGGTAAATTGTCGGGAAGTTCAAAAGGTAGAGTAAAGCTTGCAGTAATTTCTAAATTTTTTACTTCGCCATAATTTTCATATTAGACCCTTTAGCCTGAAGGTAAAAAAGGCCAAAAATATATTACATACCATAAATTTGTTTTTAAAGGAACTCTGAAGGCAACGTGGCCGGAAGTGTTTTGTAAAGGTTAATAGTTATAATTTTCTTTTAGAGGTATTTTCAGACCTGAATTATAAGGAATTGATTTAAAGGCATCCATAAGCCAAAAACCCGCTCCTCTAAAGGACAACCATTCAAACAGACCCTTCGGGGGGCAATTCCAGCGACGAGCTAATTTATTCCGGGGGGCTGCCGGTTCAGTTACGGCCATTCGCAGCCCATTCGAACGGCCCTTTGGGGGTGGCCGGTTTGAAGTGGCGGGTGGGGCGCTTTTTAATGCTTGATGGGTATGGTTGCACTTTAAAGATGACAATCATCTAAAAAAATTTGAAATTTTTTGTAGTTTTACCAAAACCTTATGGTTTGAATTCTTACTTTTCTTTCTTCATTTTGGGTTTTAAAAGCGTTTAAACGCCGTTCGATCCCCAAAAACCAAATCACCGGGGCGGCGTTCAAATGCGGGCTAACACGGGGTCGTCGGACTTTTTGAGGGTTCCTCGTCATCGGGTGCCAAGTCAGAAGCCACGTAGCGCCCTGAGGGGCCCTTCTCTCGATATATTCCTTTCGGGCTCTATTCGGGTTCCTCTTTTTGTTTTTGGTGTTTTTGAATTGGAACCCTGGGCCTTGTGTGGGTGAGCAGCCGGCGATCAGGGGCGCCCGACGGGTTCGTGATTAGATAACCAATGGCAATGGTCATTTTTGAGGGCTGCATACCGCCCCCGTGGGAGTGACCGTCGGCAATTTTTTGAAAAATTTGCATGGGATGTGAAATTTCAGATATTTTTTTGGGTGCAAAATTCAATTTTTAGATCTTGGGTTATGCCAGTTTCACTATTTATTGAAAAAGACCTTAATTAGCTATTATTTTTATTATTTTATTATTTAAATTCTTAAATATCATGCTTAATCTCTATCAAAAATGTTATAGATTTGAGGCCAGGCATAACTCATTATAAGCTTGTAAATTTCAAGGTCTCTGAACCCAATGCATTATAATTAATACCACCATTTTCTCATTACCATTTCCAAGATCAAAAATTCAAAAATAACCTTTCACCATCCTTAGCTTACCGCCCAAAGACACCAGTGCCATTTCCCCCTCCTTTTTCCTGCCCTTTCTTTGCATGAGAAGGCAGGGTGGGACCGTGAGAAAAACCGTCTACCGTCTCTCTCCACCTCGACGGGCGCATTTTTTTAGAAATCTCCCTCCCTCAAAAGTGCCACTGTACCCTCCCCAAATTTGCTCCCTTCCCTGGAAATCATTTTTTTGTCGTTGTCCCTCTCAATCGGTGGCCCGGATTCAAATGGAGGTTTGATGATTCCCGCGGGTGGGGCGGCATATCGCAGATTGCCATCTGACTCTCCCTGGGAAATCGTGAATGATCGGCCGATTTGAAAGCATCTTGCTATGGTGAGAATCAGAATGGTAAAATTTGGAGATGCTGCGGTTTACTACATATAAATAAACCACGAGAAAACCCCCAAATAGGAGCCATTTTGAGGTGTTCAAATTTATATTGTTAAATTTCGACATTTTTAGTTCACAATAGCTACTGTACCCTTTTCCTTTCCCCAATTTACTGGCTGACCTAGAGAACTCGTTTTCTGTTGGCCTCCCTGTCACCTTTCTCCTTCTCAAATTTGCATACGGCCTCGGTCGGAACGGTGCTCCTCTGGCTGGCACTTTCGATTTTCCTCCACGTGCCCGGGATTGTTTTTGCAACTTTTTCGGTCTTAAGTTTTAAGCTACTGTGTATCTAATAAGGACTCATAAGAACAATATTAATTAGTTTCTTGAGTCCTTAAACTTTTGAAGAAACTCTAAACTTTACGATAAATTTCTACTACTGTAATCCATGCCTGGGGTACCCTCTCTTGAATAATTCCCAGACCGGTTTCCGGGCCAAGGGCCCAAAAATTATTCAGAGGCAGGGCCCCCAGGGCTCGTCTGCATGCTAATTGATGCTTCCTACCATCGGGGTGGAGCCGAATTGATTGCGTCACGCTGGGTGGTTGGGCCCTTGAGATGAGGGTTGTGGGCCATTCGAATAGGGACAGACAGATGGGACGAGAGGATAGAAAATGGGCGGCTTAGCCGGGGGATGAGGCAGGCATTGTCGGGTTAATGGTTGAATCATGCATTCAGCGGGTTCCGGTCGTTAATATAGGGTGTTTGTAACGTTAATAAAAAAGGCTAGTTGTAAAATTCGGATCTGCGCATTAATATCAGGGTTAAGAAGCTGAGATGAGCCATCAAAATGCAGTTTAGAATCACTTTAAAAAATAGGTCTGCTTGTTTTTCCAATGCTCGTCAATTTAAAAAACCATGTTTTGTTTAGTCGAATTATTATTAAAAGACAGAAGTACCTGCTTTTGCCTTTTCTGCCTTTAAGAGGTAAAGCAGCTTGTTTTGCTAGATTTTAAGTGCGCTTAATCTATAGCTATTAGCTTTTTTCATTAAATTAACGCTACGGTACCGAACCTTCCAAATTACAATTTTATGTCTTTTCTCTCTTCTCATACCATCTACACTCCCTGGAGCCCGGTTCAAATTTTGCTCAAACAAAAGAGGAGGGGAGGGGCATAGGATGGGGATAGAGGATACCCAGGGTACACTGCGAATAATACCTGCCCACTTGACCTCAGCCCCATCCCTAAAAATGGGGCCAACACCTCGGTGGGGGCCCAGCGGCCAAATGGCAGCCCCAAACGGCTCATTTGGATCTCATGGATCTCATGGGATCTCACTAATGAATCTCATGAATTTCCTTACTGTCCAAATTTAAGATAAAGTGTTTAATAGAAAGTCATCTTCTCTATTTCTCTATGTCTCTCTACCCCCTTCAGCATTACGTTCCATGACATTTCGTTTGCCTGAAGGCCACATCGGCGCGACCAATTGTCCCGTCACCTATTTTCTTATTTTCGGCCGACATTTTGGGGGGTGGACGGCAGGTATGGTAAAGGAGGGGACGGGGTATATTTGAATTCTTTTGAATTGGTAGTACCTCGATTTTAAGAAAGGGCTGAATGTCATCGTTAAACGGGTTTTTCTAACGTAAGGTATTATTATTTAAAGCGTTGTTTAAAGGGTGTTTGCATCAAGTTTTTATTTTTTAAATAAATATGAAAATGCAAAATAGTTCCCAAATACAATACAATAACGCTTTAGCTCTCCAATAACGGGCTTCCCAGTCCTTTGAGTAGTTTTAAGACACAGCCATATTTTTTACTGTATAAAAGTTGGCTAAAACCGCTTGATTTATACCTTAACTATCTTTACTTAACCTCATAAACCCCCGAAAGTTTCAACATCCCCCAGTCGGCATCCATTTAAACCTAAATACCGTCTTTGCTGACTGCCACAGGTGTGCAATGGATTCAAAACCACCCCCCAGGGCCACGATGGTCATTTGCCTTTTTCCCCCCTGGGCCGGCCGTCATCTCAAGGATGGCGCGACTGTGATGGGCGGTTTTTGCGGCAAATGGCTGCGAAACGGGGCCCTCCCACACCCCCAAGGCACAGCACACCATTTTCAAAGGCGGGGGCAGCGCAAAAAATGAGTGTCGGTTCAGTGGGGGAGTCGGATGGTTGACAGCTGGTATCCGGAGAGAAGGGGGAGACAAGGTATGACTGTCTATCCTGTCTTGTTCTCCTAGTGGGGAGCGTGGGAACGAGGATGGGCTCACCGTCTAGTATTGCCCATAGAAGGGTACTGGCTTCTGGGTGTCTTTAAAACCCCAGATATGACTACGTAGACGCTTAATTACGCAGAGAGAAAGAAGATATATAGAGCCAAAGAGAGAGAGAGAGAGAGAACGAGAGAGAGAGAGAGAGAAAGAAGGAGAGAGGGCTACAGAAAGAGTTACTGATGGAGAATGAGAGAGAGAGAGGGAGAGAGAGAGAGAAAGAGAGTAAGAAAGAGAGAAGAGAG